TTAAGACAACCCCTCTACTAAATCCCCCCTCCTACTTTCCGACACATGAGAAGGTGGCAGCATGGAAGCTTCCGGCCTAATATGGCTTCCAAAGCTGATACTTATCATATAACTGCTATTATCAAATAAATCTTACCCTTATATTTATATTCCCCCAATAGCTTAGGCGTTAATCTCCAAAACGTTATTTACTAAATTGGTTAACAATCAAATTCTACAATTATTCTACCATTCTAATTATCAATTCCATTCTAAGTTCACTTAACAATACACAAGCAAAATAACATATAATTAAGAAATATATAGTCAAAGTATTGATTATTTAATTATTCAAAACTAAGTTTATATATCAAAATCAGTCCAATAGTTCCTCCTATTCAACATATAAGTTTATCTATAAAATATATAAAAGATAGAGTATATAAATATTATAAATAAGTTAAATGGTAAATAATAGCTATAAATGTCCACAGTAATAGATATTAATAAAGATATTAATAAAGATATTAATAAATGGTCGATATACACAACTGGCCACAGATCTTTCCAATCCAAGCTCTTTCACCGATTTTAAAGAGGTCCTTCTCTCTTTGGTCTCGCTATACCGTCCGCACCGCCTCCACTCTCCACTTTCCAAGTCCAAAATCCAAGATGTCAGCTCCTACTAATCTGCACAGTCACTGCTCTCCAAGCCTTAGTGTCCCAATCTATACATCCACAGTCACTAATCACTCAGTTCCAATCACCAGCAGTTCAACCTCAATAGATAATACAATTTTCCAACACTCATTTCATTCAAATCGTCCGATCTCTCTGTCTCCTCTTTCTGCTGTCTTCACGATACTTCACTCCCACCGCCAAGGCGCCGCCTTTCCCAATTCTATATTTTAAAGCTTCCTAGTCTTTAAAAGTTTGTTTCATTTTTGGGTCTATAATCTTTCTCCGTGTGTTAAATCGCCGCTTCCTTAGCGTTTGGAGAGTCTTTTTTTTTTTAAGAACTCTTTTATTTGGGTTTAAATCTCTAATATTGAAGTTGAAAGTTGTCTCACCCAGTTCCAATCCTCTGTCCACAAACCACTCCACCTCATAATCTTCTTGTCCCGGTTATCACAGCTTCGGTCTTGCCAAAATGGCCATCGTCTCTGTTGCCGATCAGGGGGGTTTCTTTGGATCAACCATGGAAATTGCTGTTTCCTCGCGATCTACAAAGCGTCCTTCCTTTCTTCACCACCCCTCCAGGGTCGCTTTGACCTCATATGGTCTCCTGGCAAGCAGGTATAGGCTGGGTTTTGTGGAGCTCTGCTATCCCATATCTGTCCTGCTGCAACACCAACTGGTCAAATCCCACACTGTTTCTAGGTCTTGAAGTGGCTTCTTTCCAGGTTTATCCTCCTCCTCCTCGTTCTCATGAGTAGACATTCTGTACATAGTCCCCACGGTAGATGAAGGTCTCCAGGTGGCTCATTATTGCAGATCTTGTTTAATGTCAAGCCTGCCCCAGCTTGGGCATTTAAGAAAGATAGAGCCTTGACTCAATTTGAAGTGAAATGCATACTTTTACTAAAACCAAGTGGTTACAGCGTAAGCAAAGCCAGATCTGAGTTTTCCTGTGTAAACCTGATAATTTTCCCTTCTCTCAGGCCCTCTTCCTTGGTCATCTTGGTAGTGTCCAGTAAGGTTCAAATTAGGTGTTTTGGTTAACAGTTCTAAAGTTTGGTGCCTCTTTGGTGGGTGTTCGCATTCCCTTCCAGGCCAGTGTCCTTGGATCTTTCAACCATTGTATCTGGTGGGCACTTCTGTTTCCTGTCATACCCCCCTCCCCAGTGGTGAGATTCAAATAATTTAACAACCGGTTCTCTGCCCTAATGACTGGCTGGGTATATATGGCTGGTGGTCATGTGACTGGGTGGGCTTGGCCAACTCAATGTCACACATGTCGAGGGGTGTCTTGCCTGGCCTCTTCTCACCACGCCTGGCCCCATCCCTCCCCGCCACTCCTTGTCACACCCAGCCTTGCCTTGCAGGGTGGCTTGCCTCGCTCGGCCCCTTGCCTCAAAGACCTCTCTATTTATTTACTACTACTGAACATCCAAAATCCACTATTTAATCCTATGTATATATGCCATATGTGCCTAATACATTTTGACGCTGTTGATCCCTATTCCATAGAATGAATTTTTTAGAAAAATAATACTGTAGCAGTAAATTTAAACATTACAGATTGCTTATATCCAGTACATATCCAGAGTGGCATCTGTGCAGTGGTAGCAAAATAGTGGATGCCACCAGGGACATCAAAGTCCTTTGAGTTCTTAGGAGTATATGATGTAAGTGACACATATACAAAAGGACAGGTTTTGATTGCTCAGTTAAGCATGACCGTTTATGACTCCCTCTGTGGGTCACCCTTGGACATATATTTTTAAGGGGGAGGGCATGGGATGATAGTGCTGCAGTGACTTTTATGGGAAGTCTTTTAACATGGTTTTTCTCCAGGTGACACAAGCACTTGTCTCCCAGCACTTGTTACAGTTGTGGAAACACCGACACACACACATACACACAGATACATAGTCGGAACATTCGTTTTAAGTGTGAAAACCAAGCTTTTAAAGGACAACCATGTTGTACCAACACAAGACAAAACTCATATCTGAATTGAAATGCACAGGATCTCATAGCAGTGATTTCAGGAGCAAAGAATCACAGGTTGAACAGTTTATAACTGAAAAGGAGCTTCCAAAAGGGATGGCAAGGCAGGAAAAAGGGCCTTTTCAGTTATGGTGCTCCTGCCCTACAGAATAACTGAACTGCTTTTATAACCGTCCTTTGAGAGCAAGTTATTAACATCAGCTGCCTGCAATTACTGCAAGGTAGTAGTAAGTAAGTAAGTAAGCTTTTTATTGCGGTCAGAGACTAAATTAAAATACACATAGAAGGGGAGTATATTTTACAAATAAAGATACATCATGTGACACCATCTACTGCCTCAGATACAATCTGTACTGTCAATACTAGTGATCCTCTGGCGTAGGGGTTACCTGTCTCTTCCCCTGTTTTTTTTTCAGCCACGACTGCAGCAAATTTTTTTTGCCACCTTTGGAGTTATATTGGGGTCTGTGTCCTGGAGTAGGAAATGGCTTGGTTGGGGGGGGGGTGTAATGTGACTGGGTGGGCGTGGCCATTTTTTTTTTTTTACCTTTAAAAGCATTTTTTCCACCGAAGAAAAAATGCTTTTAAAAGTAAAAAAAAAAAAAAAGCCTCTGATGGCGGCACGGGTCAGGGGGGGGGGGGGGGGTGCAGGGATTTTTGCTACCAGTTCCCCAAACCACCCACCGCCATCGCTACCAGTCCAAACTGGGAGCATTTCACCCCTGGTAGGCAGGCAGGCAGGCAGGCAGATGTGTGTGTATGTGTGAGAGAGGGAGGGAGAGAGAGAGGGCTGGGAATTTCAAGCCAGGCAGCCCCTGCCTTGCCCACCCCTGCCAGCAGCTCTGGGATAGTCAGTGGTTTGGCTTTCTTGGTTGGCCACGCCCCCCCCAATCCCTACCTACTCTTCCCTTCCTCCCGTGGCTGGTGATAGAGAGGAAGGCGAGCCAGGGCTGAGCCACTGCTGCTTGACCCACTCCCCCAGCCCTCATCTCACCCTCCTCCCGGACACTCCGCAACTGCTGGGCCTCGCCTGCCGCAGCTTTTAGTGGGCAAGGGGAAGCCAGGAACCATAAGGCTGTGCCGGCTGTGCCGGCTGCATCACTCCTCCGCCAGGTGGTTCTGCCCACCCACCAATCCACGGCCTTCGGGCAAGCCCAGAGCAGATCTCCCTCCCCGGCCATCGGCCTTACCTTCGTGGGCAGCTGCGGTGAGCAAAGTGGTGTAAGCTTTGTGGGCTGAAAGGTAAGGCCGATGGCGGGGGAGGGAGATCCGCTCCAGGCCCGTCACGCTTGGCCGAAAGGGGAAGGCAACTCCAGCTGGCGGAGGGGCAGTGCAGCAGCATAGCCTTGCAGTCCCTGGCCACCCCTCCGCCTGCTGGCAGCTGTGACAGATGAGGTGCCTCCTCCCCAGGTCTCCGTCCATTTTCCCCCCCAACAGCCGGACAAACGTGAGGAATGGCTGGGAGGAGAGGGGCGAGGTGGGGCCAGCCAATGGTGGGATTAGCCAGTTCACCGAACAGAAAAAGTTAGCTACTGGTTCAGGTGAACTGGGGCGAACCAGCTGAATCCCACCACTGCCCATCCCTATATCCTCCTATCCCCGTTCCCCATTCTTTATGGCATGCTGCTATCAAAGCAAACTAGGGCTGAAGTGGCTTGATGACAGATCTGTTTGTCGACTGCCTCTGGGAATATTTAGGGCTTTCCTTTAAGTCCTAGCTGGGTCATTCAGGCAGTCAACAAGCAACAAAACAATTTTTCAAGGACCCAGTATCTCTCATTTGTCACCTATGTGCTGTAGCTGGCTAAAGTTTGGGAGCTGATTTTTTTTTTTTTTTTTTTTTTTTTTTTTTTTTTTGTGCAGAAAGCTATCAAAAGCTAGGGAAGTGGTCCTTTTTTGTCCCAGAAAGGCAGGGCACCTTCACAGGAGGACAGATTTAGGAAAGGCATGCATGCACAGTTTTCCTTCCCTATTGATTTTTGCTGGCAAGTCAATTGTGCAGTGGGTCAGCATGCAAGGCTCAAGGGATGGGAAGCAGAGCCTGGGATATCTTGGGGTAGGGGAGACCTTGGGAGGCCTGAGACAGATAGGTCTGTGCCTGAACTAGGCTTCCCAGGATCTCTCCCAACCCTGAACTTTACTTAATGACCTGTACGTTTGTTTAAATAATATACTGGGGAGAACAGGGATGGTTGGTAGTTACGTGAGGCAAATTCATTTAACATTGTTCCAACTTTCAATGGAAAGGCTTCAGTATGGTCATAACTCAAGGACTATCTGTAAAAATTTATAATAAACTGTCTCATAAACATCACTTATATAATGTTTGTGTGTGTGTATAATTGCAGGGAATCCAAACTACATCAAGCTTGTCAGCAGCTACTCTAGCCTCCCTAAGTGGAACCTTTTCTCGCCGAGGCAGTGGGGATACTTCTATCTCAATTGATACGGAAGGATCTATTAGAGAAATTAAGGTAAGATAAAGTTAATGCTGAAAGGCTTTGTTTGTTTCCCAGTGCAGGATCTGATCACAATTTGGGGTCTGTCCCATACAAAAGTGAGGTCTAAACACAGTAAAGAAGAGTCATATCATACTTTTTCCTACCTTAAAAACATAGAATCATAGGACTGGAGGGTCTTCTAGTACAACCCCAGCTCAAGGCAGGAGACCTTATACAATCCTGAATAAATGGTTGTCCAGTCAATACTTAAAAACCTGCAGCAATGGAGCACTCACAACTTTGGGATGCAAGCTGTTCCATTAATTAATTGTTCTCACTGTCAGGAAATTTCTCTTTAGTGCTAGGTTGAAACTCTCTTTAATGAACTTCCACCCATTGCTTCTTGTCCTGCCCTCTGGTGTTTTGGAGAATAAGTTGACCACCCTCTTTCTCTGTGTAGTCCTTCAAGTACAGGAAAACAGGTCACCATTAATCCTTCTGTTTGATAGCTAGACTTAGCTAGCTCCCTTAACTGTTCATCATAAGCTTTAGCCTCCAGACCCCTTATTGTATTTGTTGCTCTTCTCTGCACACTTTCTATGGTCTCAACATATTTGTTGTATTGTGGAAACTAGAACTGACTGCAGTATTCAAAGTGTGGCCTCATTAGTGCAGTATAAAATAGTACTATCATTTCTTGTCATCTTGATACTATTCCTCTGTTGACCCATTGGTTTTTTTTTATAGCTGCAGCACACTCTTGATTTATACTTAAATGGTGGTCCAGCAGGACACCTAGATCCCTGTCACGGATCCTATTGGTTGAGCCAGATGCTTCCAATTCTACATCTATATATTTGGTTTTCTGCCTAAGTGCAGGACATTATTTTTCTCATTACTGAACTGCATTTTGTTGGATAGGGCCCAGTGCTCAAGTCTGTCAAGATCCTTCTGAATCTTGAGTCTACCTTCTATCAATTATTTCCAGCTTGATATCATTTGCAAATTTGATGAGTTCCCCTTCTGTCCCCTCATCTAGATCATTTATTAAGATGCTGAAGAGCACTGTGACCTAGGCAGAACCTTTTGGTACCTCACTGCATGCTTCCTTTCACGTAGACGTTCCACTGAGGACTATACGCTGGGTGCAGTTGGTCAATTTTGAATCCATCTAGTGGTGGTACTTTCTATCCCACATTATTCTATCTAATCTAGAGGTAGACTGTTGTCTACTTTGTCAAAGCCTTACCGAAGTCCATGAATGCTATGTCTGCAGCATTTCCCTGATCCATTAATTTAGTCACTTTATCAAAAAAAGCAGTAAGATTTGTCTTGCATGATCTGTTTTAACAAACCCATGCTGGCTTCTAGTAATTGCCTCATTCATTTCTAGGTCCTCATGGACCCATCACTTGATTTTCTTTTCCAGATATTGATGTTCACTGATTGGTTTATAGTTTCTTGGAGATTGGAACTACGTCAGCTTTTTTTCAGTCTTCTCATAGTTCTCCTGTGCTTTGAAAGAATTACAATCATTGGTTCTGAAATGACATGTACCAGTTCCTTCAGAACCCTGGGATATAAACCGTTGGGTCCAAGTGATTTGTACTCAATTTTGCATTCCTTTTCTAATTCCCTTGGTATTGCTTTTGATAGATTGGGCTATTGCTTCCTTTTGCATGAAGACAGATCCAGAGAAGGAATTAAGCAGTTCTGCTATCTCTCTGCTGCCTGTTATCTTCTTGCCACCTGCTCCCATTAGTGGACCTATTGTTTTCTTGACTTTCTTCTCCTCCCTTACATTATCAAAAGAACTTTTTGTTGTTGTTGTTGTTACTTTGCCATTAATTGCCAATCTTAACTCATTCTATATCCATATTTGTAAATTTAGGCTATTTGCTGATGGTCTTTTTTGTCCTTCAATTTCTCAGAGAGCTCTTTGTGCAATCACACTGGGTTTTTTTTCTCTATGGTATTATTTCTGTTCGGGCCATTATTATTTCATTTTTCAGAGTTTTCCAAGCATCTTGAACTGTTTTCCCTCTAGGAATAAATTTATTTATTTATTAAATTTGTTTGCCACCCTTGTATCAGAAGGACTTTGGGTGGCTTAAAACGTTAAAACTCTAACATAAATATTTCTAAAATAATAGAAATGGAAATCACATTCAAAATAAAGTTATAGTTAAAAGATGTGGAGGATGCCTGGGGGAAAAGGTGGGGTTGCCTTTTCATTCATCAACCACCTCCAGTATGATGCTTCCCTATTGGGCCTCAAGCATCTCCTAAACTGTGATGGCGAACCTATGGCACGAGTGCCACAGGTGGCACCTGGAGCCATATCTGTGGGCACACAAGCTTTGCCCTAGCTCAGCTCCAGCATGCATGCGCACACCAGCCAACTGTTTTTCAGGCCTTCCGGGCCCACCAGAAGTCGGGAAACGGGCGGTTTCCGGCCTCCGGAAGGCCTCCTTTCTTGCCCTCCCCAGGCTCCAAGAAAGCCTCTGGAGCCTGAGGAGGGTGAAAAACAGGCCTACCGGCCCACTGGTAACCTTTGTGCCATCATGTGCCAAAAGTGAGGGGAACATGGAGGGGGTCGCGCGTGCATGGAGGGGCAGGGCACAGGGGGGCATTGAATTATGGGTGTGGGCACACATATGCATGACCCCCCGTGCTCCCCCCATTTTAGGCACGCGACGGCAAAAAGGTTAGCCATCACTGTCCTAGAACTAGGTTTTGATGCTCAAAAATCAGAAGGTGACAGAAGATGTCAGAAGGGTGGCAACCAATTTCACTTCAGGCAGTAAGATGTTGCAAAGGGCAGGAGCCAAGTTAGAGAAATCCCTTCTCCTGAACCCCGCCAGCTGGAATTCCTTGACTGATGGGCCTCACAGCATGCTTCCTTTCCCAGTGTGGATGGGGTGAACCACTCCCGATGGGGTGAGATGGTTCCTCAGATTACCTGGACCCATGCTATGCAAGGTTTTAAATCAACACCTTGAATTGCATCTGTAAGCATACCAATGGCCAGTGCAGCTTGTGGAGCAGAAGCATAAATTACTAATAAAATAATAAAGCATAGAATGTTTTTATAAAATCCTCCTCTTTATTACAGAGTTTTTCATTGTTTTATTTTTCATAACGTTTTGCAATTTTTTTCAGGATATCATTGAGTTAAAGGATGAAATTGGGAATGTAGAAGCAAAATACATGCAGAAGTTGAAACAAATGAAGGTACAAATTTATTAAAGAATAGATGTGCAGATCTAACTGATTTAGCAGGGGTGTCAAACACAATTTTATTGAGGGCCAGATCAGCATTGTGGTTGTCCTCCATGGACTTGGGGGAGGGGGCGTGGCCAGGGAAAGGGGCATGGCCAGAGTGGTTGCAACTGACTGGGTGTGACCAGGGGGTGTGGCCCACTTGACATCACTTGTGTGGGTAGTGCCTGTGGGCTTGGACAGGGTTGGGGAGGGAGTCCAGGGGTCTCCGATGGATAGGGCGCTGGGCGGGATGAGATAAGGCGAGGCAGGGGACAGGGTAGCTATAGCCAGAAACCCATCAGCCACTGTGCGTTCACTGCCCTTTGTCGGGGGGAGGGGATGGTTTCCGGCTGTAGACACAGCCTGCCGGCCCCTCAGCTGATGCACACTATGGCTCCACAGCCTACTGCCAGCACAGCACTGGACTGGCCATCCAAGCAGCAAGCAGAGGTGGTGGGAAGGTACATGATGCAGACAGCTGGATGCGCTTACTCTGCCCAACTGTCTGTTTTGGCTTGCGGTTGGAGAGCAAGTCATCACTGGTCATCTTCTCAGCCTGCTCCTCAGCCCGCTCACAGGTCTTGCCCTGGGCCTGCTCATGGAGCATGTTCCCTCGCGCACCCGACTGCAGCGGTGAATGCATGAGAGGGGTGCTTCGCCAGCAGTCACTGCAAGAAGCAAGGGAGGGTGCAGCATTTCCCCGTCCACTATGAGACACAACACACGGCACCTGGCTGTGCTTCCCCAAAGCGGGGCGTGGGGCGGGATAGGAAGCGGCGCCCATCCCAAGGCTGGAGGAAGAGGGCCTTTGAGCCCCAGGAACTGGTTCGGGCAGTGCCCTGCCAATTCGCCAGCTTCCCTTTGGAGGGAAGTCCCGCTACCCCCGAGCTGCGCCTTTTGAGGAATTTCGCTGCAATCCTCAGCTCGGAATGGAGATGCAGCGGGGAGGGGGGGCTGCAAGACAGAAGGCTGCCTTCAGTCCAGGGAAGGGACTGCAGCCTCGGGGGCTCTGTCTGAAGGAGCTACATCAGTCGGGCAGCGCCCTGAAAGCGCTCTGGAGCTGCTGCCTTGTAGTGCAGGGTGGAGCTCAGTTTTCCTTGCTGAGCAGCCCTGGGGAAGAGGCACGTCATCGGGGATGACTACCCCTCTGCTCGGCAGACCAGCAGAAGGAGGCGAAGCAGACAGCTAGAAAAGAGCCCTGGCTTCCCAGGCCGAGCAGAGATTTGGGGGAGGCACTCCTTGCCGGCTGGGCTTGGGCAGCCATAGTGCAGATGCAGATCGAGCTTTCCCCACTCACAGTGGCCGCCTTTTGCCTTCTGGGAATGGGCGTGCTTTTATCACTTCTACTCGGCCTTTCTAGCTGGTTGCTTTACCTCCTTCAGGCTAGATGAACCTGTTGCTCCAGGCGGTGACGGCAGCAGCCTAATGGATCTGCATGAGCTGCTGGTGGCCTCAGTGGTGCCAAAGTGCATTGGATGTGCAAGGGGAATGCGCTTCACCCGTGGCCAAAGACAAGACCCGCAAGGGGGCCAAGGAGGTGACCAGCTGTGACCTGCTCTCCAACTGTAAGCCAAAAGAGATGGGACAGGATAGGCAGCAGCCACCCTACACACCCTCCTCACCTTGTCTTCACCCACAGCAGTAGCTGAAGACAGAAGCACAGGGGAGAGGCATGCGGTCCAGCCTGCTGGATGTGCCGGGCAACCACGTGCCCTGTCCCAGCCACATGGGATGGAGGAGGCGTGTCCGATGGTCTGCATCACGTGCCTCTCCTCCACTCTACCTACTGCTAATTCTGCCGCCAATATGCCTGTTTCTTGGAGGACTAGCTGCAGAGTCCCTGCTGCTGGACACCTCCCCCACCCCCACCCCCCGTGTGAGCGCACACACACCTGAAAAGCTGGTAAGGGTGGCTGTCCTGGTAAGAGCATTGCTTCAGTTCTGCCTGACCCATCGCGGCGGGCGGATGTGTTGCTTTGGCCCATCCCATGCCATCCTGGCAGGCATGCGTGCGCCCGCACAGACCCTGGCCCACCCCATCCAGTGGGTGCGCAGGTGCCTGCCTTCTGTGTGCACATGTGCCTGCCGGGATGGCATGGGATAGGCCTCTGCGCGCATGCGCCTGCCACCTCCTGCACACATGTGCGCCCGCTGGGATGGGTCAGGCCAGGCTGAAGGGATGCCGGCTGGACCCTTACTATTTCCAGGATGGCCGGATCTGACCACGTTGGAGGCCTTGAGTTTGACACCTCTGTGATTTAGCTTCCAGTTATGAAAAAAGATCTGGGTTGTATTTAATCTGCATGCCTTGTTTTGAGAATTTTGCATACTTTGCAGTGACTGAATAAACTCAAATTGTTCGATTTTGGACAATATACATTTTGCATATTGTACCTATTGTACCATGTACCTAAAGGTGTCAAAAACATAACAATTATTAGATTTTTTTCTTTTGCATCTTTGCTACTTTGGAGTATATATTTAATATGAATATATTTTGAAAATATATAGTTCAGAGGATTTAGGGTTTTTTTCTTTAAAAAAATAGTGCATTCGTAAACATGTAAAGTGAATGTAAAGAATACTTCACTAAATTCAATCACTCAATTCAATTATGTTGTATTTTAAATGTCTACTATGCTAAGAAATTCTTGAAATTCAGTTGGCATTAGTATACAAATGCTGGTTTAGTTTAGTTTAGTTTAGTTTAGTGTAGTGTAGTGTAGTGTAGTGTAGTGTAGTGTAGTGTAGTGTAGTGTAGTTTAGTTTAGTTTAGTTTAGTTTAGTTAATTAAGTGTGAAATCATTCAGAAATGTTTTAAGTGTAAGTCATGTACTTTGTGATATACCCTATTCTGATACTTCTGTGGCAAACTGAAACAAATAGCATATTTTGCAAGAAAGTTTGTCCATTGTGCCTGTGATACAACACCTATAAGATTTAGGCCTGATAAATAAATTGAAAATATTCCTTTGAATTTTTCTTTAGGACTCTTCAGCTGAAGTTGAAGAAAAATATAAGAAAGCTATGGTTTCAAATGCTCAATTGGATAATGAGAAAACAAATTTTATGTACCAAGTAGAAACCCTACAGGATACATTATTGGAACTAGAAGAGCAGCTTGCAGAATCTAAGAGGCAATTTGAAGAGAAAAGCAAAGTAAGTAGTATTAAGTCTTCGTAGTGTCTTTATCAGCTGTATGATTGAAGAAAATACTTTATGAAAAGTCTAGATTTTAGGCAACAATTGTTAAAACACTCTTTTCCTAAATGAATATTATATTCGTGGTAATATTGATGGAACTGTTGACTAAATATAAAGGTGATTCATTTCCATTCCCTTATCTGTTTGTTTATCCAGGTAAATCCTGTGGGTATGACCTCACTACATAAAAGATTATGTGTAGGCCATAATAGAGACTAGAATTTATAGTGGCATAAATTCTTGAGTGGTTTAGAATAGAAATCTAATAAAATACATGACTTAACATATAGATTGAATAAAAAGAAAACATGCCTGATTAAAAGCATTTTGAATACAGATGCTAATTATAAAATGATCATTTTGTAGGATTTTGAGAGGGAAAAACATGCTCATGCTATACTGCAATTCCAATTCATGGAACTCAAAGAGGCTCAGAAACAAAAAGAAGAACTGCTTGCTGTAAGTACACAACTGCCTGTAAATAACAGACTTTTGTCATTATATCAGAAGATAAGAACATTTTGCTCACAACCCATGAGTAACAATATTGAGACTGCATGAGTAAAATTCACTGACAAAAGTGATTTTCCTTGTGATATTCTTCAACTTTGTTAGTACTTTAAAAAACAAAATGGATGCTCTGAGAAGGAAGGAAGGAAGGAAGGAAGGAAGGAAGGAAGGAAGGAAAGAAAGAAAGAAAGAAAGAAAGAAAGAAAGAAAGAAAGAAAGAAGAAACTCAGCCCAGAAAAAGCAGGCAAGGGAACTGCCCAAGCAAGGAAGGAAACCCTCCTCACTATAGGAAAAAATGACAATGGGTGCAAACTAGAAAGTGCAGTGAAAAGTTGTGGTTAGAAAAAGGCTGAATGAGAGGAAGGAAAGAAATGCTCCTAAGGAGATCATCTTGCCTTGCCTTGCCTAGTTGTAGGCAAAATTCAGACAAATTAAAGCTGCCTAAAGTTGAGTCTGTGTAGCCTCAAGGATCCCTTCTGTTATCCTCTCTGCCACCAAATCAGAAGTCTTCCATACATTTCAGTGAGTGCCATTGAAGCCATTTTGGGCCTGGACAGCCTCCTGCACCATGCTGGCAGCCAAAACAGGGCGGTGGGGCTGCGTGTGGATGCCCCGTGCCCCATTTTGGTCGTGGACAGCCTCCTGCACCACTCTGGCAGCCAAAACGGGGTGGGGGACTCCCCCACTCCCCACTTTGGCCCTGGACAGCCTTCTGCAGCAGCTCCCCTGTGCCATGTTTTGGCTAGCAGAGGCACTACGGGCCAGTCCTTTGTTATTTCCAGACCAGGCCCATGGGCTGGATCTAAGCACCCCGCAGGCCGAATCTGGCCCACTGGCCTTGAGTTTGATATCCCTGTCATAGACTAATACAAATAGAATGCACATGATACACACATATATCAAAATAAAGTTTAAGACAAAGTTAAAATATAAAACAAACTAACATCTATGAGTGAAGTCTAGGATGGAGCCTACATGGAATTATAATTTAGACATTAAAATTATATTTATAATATCTAAAATTACAAAAAAAGTGGTAATATTTATAATTTAAAGCATTACAGTTACATAAAATGCATTTAGCTAGTAAAAAATTGACCTATCAGGGTCTGAAAGATCCTCCATGCTTCTACACAAAACCTAACTACATGTGGTGAAACAAAAGGCAGTTTATCTGGGTATAGACTGAATTTGAACAATCAGGATCTACTAATCAAAGGTTAGGATGAATCTGATTCAAGTGTCTATAAAAGGAGCAACAAAGAAGAACATATTCCATATTTTCCACCTCCCCAGAATAACAGGGCAAAATCTTTCAGCCAATGGTACTTTTTAAATTCAAATTTATATTTGAATTTAAAATTGAAACCACTACTTTCCTGAATAATTGGTTCCACAGTTGAAATGTCTTTCTGCGAGGATTTTTTTCCCTAACATTCAGTCAGGACCTCTCTTCTTGTAATTTATTTTTTTATGTTATTCTGGAGCAATGAAAAGTAAATCTACATTTCTTCTGGGTTACATTCTTGTAGATATTTGAAAAATGCTCTCATATGCCCTTCTGTTGGCCTTTCTCAAGGTTAATCACACCTGATTTCTTTAAACTCTCTTCATATAATTTATTTACTAATCCTCTAATCATCTTTGCATCCTTTCAAATTCCTTTGATTTCTTTTTAAACAGTGGTGTCCAGAATTGAACACAAGACTCAGGTCCAGACTTTTCAGCAAGATCACCTCTTGCTGAATAGATTGTGTGGTTCATTTCCAATTTCTTTGCTGATCTACAATATCTTGGAAATAGTTTTATCTTTGTAGTGTAGCAGTGGTGGGTTGCCCCCGGTTCGGACCGGTTCACAAGAACCAGTAGAAAAACCAGTGGGAGGCCCCGCCCACTGCCCTGGATGTCTTCATCGGTGATTTGCGCATGTGCAGAAGCTTCTGCGCATGCGCAGAAGCAAAGCTCGCACGCAAGCAAAGCAACTGCGCACATGCGATCCCATTGCGAATCGGTAATAAAGGTAAGTAGAACCCACCCCTGTAGTGTAGATATATCACAATGCTAAAATACTTAGTTCTTGGTGGATCTTCCTGTTTCTTCTTAATTAGACTCTACTATATATTAATTTCTTAGAATGTTGTGTTGGCATGGCATTTTTGATGGATATTAACAAACTAGTACATATTCAGAGGAGCACAAGCAAGATGTCAAGAGGTCTGGAAGACAAAAATTTAGCTTATGGGGAATACTTTGAGATGTTGGGTTCATTTAGCCCAAAAAGAGAAATAGTAATGAGAGATATGCTGCTGTCTTCAAGTTATGTGAAAGGCAGTTATATAGAAGAAGGATAGAATTGTTCAGTTATGTTCCATGACAAAACAATGGGTTTCAAAGAGAAAGAGCTCTTTGGAGCTCAATAGGTAATTTAATTATTGTTAGCACTTTTATATGTGCTTTATCACTAATGTATTGTTTTTGGCCATCTGTTGGGAATATTGTAGATACTGGGAAATTGGAAAGTCTGTAGACTATATTATCTTGAAATATTTTGAGATTTCAGTGTAAATCCATGCATTTGAATGTACAGATAGACATTTGGCCTTATTTCATGCATCCTTTTATTTAATTGTTCTATGTGAATGTTGCAGCCTTGAATGTTCACCTTCTGATTAACTATCTTCTATGCTTTCTATCTTATTGTTTTACATCTCAGGAAATCCAACAACTGCAACAAAAACAAGAGGGTTTTGTCAGGGAAATAACTGATCTTCAGGACACAATAGAATGGAAAGAAAAAAAGATAGGGGTAGGATTTTTGTAGAATTGGGGTTTTTTCATATTTTCAATGTTTTAAATGAAAAAAGTTATAAATTCTGAAGTAAAATGGGTCAAGATCAGAAAATTTATTGGCCTTCTACAGAACATCAAGCTTGCAGGATAGTTAGGCTACAATCTGTATTTTTTACTCAAAGTGAACTGTCAAGTCCTCCCAAATTTTCAACTAGGTTTGATTCCAAAATCCATTTGAATAAACCCAAGAATAAATTGAGAATGAAACCATTCCTGCAGTTTTATAATACTAAGCAGATAGGTACCAAGGTAAATTAGGTGATGAGAATTCTCACCCAAAAACAGATTTCAGAAGAAAAGTATAGTACTTCATATAGGCACAATGTAACTGGGTTGTCCAATTTTATTTGAGAGCCAGTTTGGTGTAATTGGTTAAGGCACCGGACTAAAAACCAGAATATGGTGAATTTTAGTCCCACCTTAGGCACAAAGCCAGCTGGGTGATCTTAGGCCAATCACTCTCTCTCTGCCCTAGGAAGCAGTTAAGGGCAAACCACTTCTAACCAAATTGCACTTGCCAGGAGTCAAAAAATAAATGCTAAGTGGCTTCCCACTTTAGGGGTTGGGGCAAGGGCTTGGCTGCACTGCTTTTCTATGGCCACACCAGTTTTTTGGTTTGGCTTCCCAATGGACATCCAGGTGCCTTTTGGAAACAGCTGAAAACTGAGCTCTTCCAGAGGATTTTTTTGGCACAATTCCATTTTGGCTGGATTATTTATTTATTTATTTATTATATTTGTATACCGCCCTTCTCCTGAAGGACTCAGGGTGGTGAACAGCCAAGATCAAATACATAAATATAAAAATTAAAAACAATTTAAAACCAGATTAAATACTTTGGCCCATAATTAAAACATCCCATTAAAATCCAATTTAAAATTTAAAACCGTTAAAATTAGGCTAGCCCGGCTTGCTGGAATAACAAAGTCTTCAGGGCATGGTGGAAGGTGCACAAGTACGGGAAGGTGCCAATTATAATATGGCTTTGTTATTTAATTTTCTTCTATATTTTTAAATTATTTATAGATCTTTCTATTTGGATATTTTTATTGTTTATTATTTCTATTTTTAAACTGATAAGAATTTGGGACTTTGGTGGTCTAAAAATGTGGTAAATAAATTAAGGGAAAATGGTAGAGTAAGATATGAGTTGTGCAGTTGTAGTTGCAAAATGCCTTTGAAAAGAAATGCAGTGTGCTCGCTTCGGCAGCACATATACTAAAATTGGAACGATACAGAGAAGATTAGCATGGCCCCTGCGCAAGGATGACATGCAAATTCGTGAAGCGTTCCATATTTTTTAATGCATTATTAGAAATAGATTCAGAAACGGAATTGGTTAAGGATTGTATGATAAAATGGGCACAAAACTTTCAGGAACCAGTGATGATGGAAATGTGGGAAAAGATTTGGGTCAGAAATGTTAAATTTACGCAAGCACAAAATTTGAGAGAGAATTTTTATAAAATGTTTTATAGATGGCACTTAGATCCTAAAAAATTACCATGTATGTACTCGAATTTGCAAGCTAAATGTTGGAGATGTGAATGTAATGATGCAACCTATTATCATATATGGTGGACCTGTAAGAAAATCAAGGCATTTTGGATAAAATTTGGTGGGTGATGCAGAACATTCTGAAAAGAAGGTTGAAATTTACTCCTCAATTGTTTCTATTGGGTATAATTACAGACTGTACAGTATCAGAGACTAAATTGATCTTGAACTTAATATCAGCAGCTAGGCTGTTGGTAGCTCAATATTGGAAGAAGGACTCTTTGCCTACTATTGAAGAGTAGACATTGAAAGTAACAAACCTAGCAGAAATGGCGAAAATCTCAGCGTACTTGAAGGACCACATGCAAGAAAGATAGATTGATTATATTCAAAATAAGTATCAGACAAGAAAATATCAAATAGCTTATGAATGAATGTTAGTATTAGAAGTATTAGGTTATAGTGGAGTTAAGGTTTCAGGGGGGGAGTTAGTACTTTGAGGATAAGTAGATTAATCTAGTTTATGATTGATTAAATGAAACACCTTGTATTTTGCTCTGGGAAGTCTGGGGGGGAGGGTGGGATGAGGGGGGGAAAGGGTGGGGGAAACATGGGGGGAAGAAAATTTTTGTATTTTTTTTTTGTAAAACTTTTCAATAAAAAAAAGAAAGAAAGAAAATAAATGCAGTGATATTTGCATCTTTATATAATATAGGAAATAGCCAGTATAAAAACCAGTTTAGCGGTTAAAGGATAAGGCTAGAAACTAGCTAGGCTCAGAGATAAGTTAGAAACAGGCTAGAAACTAGAGTCATACTGTAGGTTCTAGTCCTGCCTTGGGCACAGAGCTACCTGGGTGACCTTGGGCCAATTACTTTCAATGGCAAACCTTCTTGCCAAGAGAAACTGGCAGTGTCCAAAAATCAGACATGTATTTCATGCAGATTGATACTAACTTTATTTTTATACTCTAAATAAAAGATACAAATTGTCTAAAAATTTCAGAAACTGTGGCAAAATTAAAAACAAAATGTAGTGAAAATCATTCTATAATTTCTGAAGTTTTAAATAGAGAGCCTACATATGTCGATATGGTAAAAAAAATGAGATGCTTCATAATACAATATTGTTTTCCAGACAAAAATTGAACAGTGCTTCCAATGAGATCCACCCTCCCTCCCTCCCTCCTTCCTTCCTTCCTTCCTTCCTTCCTTCCTTCCTTCCTTCCTTCCTTCCTTCCTTTCTTTCTTTCTTTCTTTCTTTCTTTTTTTCTTAAGTTATCTTTCTTATTTTATTATTTTTTTAAAGACCTCAAGTAATACTGATGCTTGGTAACTTTCAAATGTAGCTTTGGAGCTAACGAGTTAGAAAATGTTTTGTTATGCCTTTATAAAAAAAACTTTTAAAAACCTGTTGCTGGATGTGTGGTGAGATACTGCCCTCTCCCATGAAAAAGGAGACTGTTTTTAGCTTGGTGTGATTTCTGAAGACACCCTTACAGTGATGTGGGTACAGTGTACAGATGTGTCAGAGAGAGAAGAGTCAAACATTAAAGAAGTGGCAGAGTGAAGTATGCAGAGCAAGGATAAAGAGTGAGGCTGATTTGTGGCTAGACATGTAGGTAAGGGCAGGGTTGCACAGATGTTTCTAGGAAGTGGCATTTGGATCACAGTTGTAACCATTTATTGTGCTTAATTTTAATAGAGATGGTGGTAGGGCTTAATAGCAGGGTTATGCTATTATTGGAATATATATGATGAAGAAATGGATAGTTTGTGAGAGTCATTGGTCAGTTTAAAGAAATCCTAGGTAAGTTGAAAAATTACTGCAGTTGTCTCATGGTTCTGAATCCAGGGGATGGGGAAGTTTTGTTTAGTCTTTGCTATTGTTGATTGCAGAATATACCATATTTTTTGGACTATAAGATGCTACGGACTATAAGACATACCTAGCTTTTGGGGAGGAAAACAAGAAAAAAAAATCTGCCTCTGCCTCTACCTCCCAGCAATTTGCCTCCTTGCAGCAAACAGCAAACAGCCTGGTCAGCTTCAGCACAGCCTGATTTAGCACAAGCAGCTGATTGGCAGTTGGATCTGCCTCCCGGAATACCACCGTTGTGTCCGACCCATTGCGACCCCATGGATAACGTTCCTCCAGGCCTTCCTGTCCTCTACCATCCTCTGGACTCCATTTAAGCTCACGCCTACTGCTTCAGTGACTCCATCCAGCCACCTCATTCTCTGTCGTCACTTTCTTCTTTTCCCCTCAATCTTTTCCTGCATTAGGGATTTCTTCAGTGAGTCCTTCCTTCTCATTATGTGGCCAAAATATTTGAGTTTCATCTTCAGGATCTGGCCTTCTAAAGAGCAATCAGGGTTGATCTCCTCTAGGACTGATCGGTTTGATTGCCTTGCAGTCCAAGGGACTCGCAGGAGTCTTCTCCAGCACCATAGTTCAAAGGCCTCAATTCTTTGGCACTCAGCCTTTCTTATGGTCCAACTTTCACATCCATACATTGCAACTGGGAAAGCCATAGCCTTGACTATATGCACTTTTGTTGGCAAGGTGATGTCTCTGCTTTTTAGTATGCTGTCTAGATTTGCCATATTTCCTCCCCAGGAGTAAGCATCTTAATTTCTTGGCTGCAGTCCCCATCTGCGATGATTTTGGAGCCCAGGAAAATAAAATCTGTCACTACCTCCATTTCTTCCCCATCTATTTGCCAGGAATTGAGAGGGCCGATGCTATGATCTTAGTTTTCTTAATGTTGAGTTTCAAGCCAACTTTTGCATTCTCCTCCTTCACACGCATCAAGAGGCTCTTTAGTTCCTCTTCGCTTTCTGCCATTAGAGTGGTATCATCTGCATATCTGAGGTTGTTGATATTTCTCCCGGCAACTGGGTGTATCTTTCTCATTCTCCCTTGCCTTTCACTTCCCTTCTTTCCTCAGCTATTTGCAAAGCTTCCTCAGACAACCGTTTTGTTTTCTTGCCTTTCTTTTTCTTTAGGATGATTTTAGTTGCTACGTCTTGTACAATGTTGCGAACCTCCGTTCATAGTTCTTCAGGCACTCTGTCTATCAGATCTAATTCCTTAAATCTATTTGTCACCTCTACTGTATATTCATCAGGGTTATGATTTAGTTCATACCTAAGTGGCCTAGTGCTTTTCCCTACTTTCTTCAATTTAAGCCTAAATTTTGCAACGAGAAGCTCATGATCTGAGCCACAGTCAGCTCCTGGTCTTGTTTTTACTAACTGTATAGAGCTGCTCCATCTTTGGCTGCAGAGCACATAGACAATCTGATTTCTGTGTTGACCGTCTGATGATGTCCATGTGTAGAATCGTCTCTTGGGTTGTTGGAAAAGTGTTTGCTATGACCATCGTATTATCTTGACAGAATTCAGCCTGTGTCCCGCTTCATTTTGTATTCCAAGGCCAAACTTGCCTGTTATTCCG